GGTTAAAAAGTTATCAAACAAAGATAAGAAAGAAAAAAAAAAGATATAAGAAAAAATATGCACTTACCATTATCAGCCATACAAAGCCGTCAACTTTCTTATTACGTAAATGATTCTCCTTTAGACCTTGATATAGAAAGGCCAATAGTGCCGCTCCCCAAGCATAAGAATCCACTTCGTCCAATTTTTCAATAAATTGGACGTATGTGGTTTTGCAGTTTTGGCCATCCCCACTTGGAACGATCAGACAAGACACAATCATAAAGAGGACAGCTTTTATCCTATCATCATCATTTTTACTTAAATGACAGCAAATATTTTTCAACACACTTAACTTAAGTTTATTAACAGCAGGTAAGGAAAAAAACCCGGTTAAAAGCCATAGGGTCTTTATTACTTTCAGATATAATTGCTCGGCCCGTAATGGGCAAGTTGGTCAAAAACAGAACGTTTTCCAATGAGACGTTCATGTAAATACCACAAACATGAAAACAATAGTAATTTTCTTGAAGTCCATAATAACTCATGAACATTTCAAACAATGATGTTGAAAATTCCGATGAGTTATCTTGGACAAGCTTTAAAACTTTTAATAATGTATAACCTTGACCCCTATTTTCTATTCTATTGTTAATTCTTGTTTTAAAAGGTTCATCTAAATCTTTCCATAGTTTGCACAAAGTATTTAGTTTAGATGATCCTTTTGTTGACGTTTCCTGCAAAAGCAAAATCACTTGTATAAATAAGTAAACAAATCCGAATTGGTGGATTAAGCATCTCTGTAATGCATCATGTCATTCCCAATGGATTCGAATAAAACATACATATATTCCATACTTATTTCAGAATTTTCGTTCGCACTATTATAGTAATATAAATATATAATAGAGTAGAAAATAAATTGTATGAAGATATATTGTAAGGCAGCAGTGTGCACAGAGGTTTTCTATATAAACCTAACTCTCCCCCAATTGTAACCAATTCTGGAAATACAAAATTCTGTTGTAACTACTTTCCTTTTCTCCTTTTCTCTCTCTTTGTACATTTCTATTATTAACAGTCTGTGGTTCTGCAAGAGTAATAAGGAGAGTGGGATGCAGGCGTGGACAAACTATGCCATTTTTGGACCTTGTGGTCATGGAATGAATGTAGTTTAAAAAACCAGTTTAAAAACCAATATATATCCTCCTTATCAACTTAATCCTTTACTTTACATACATGCACAGTTTGTAAACTCTATCATATTCCTGTTCTAAGAATGGGGACTCACTTTTGTCTTTCTTATACGACAATTTACTTTTGTTTTTAATTAGGGAATAATCAATTTTTCTGATCTATCTATTTTTAATCCATTAATCTCAATATCTGATAAATATAGTGTAGGGTAGATAGAATAAAATTATGATTATACAAATTATTCAGATGTCCAGTTACAAGACAGAAGTCTAAATACTGGACATCAGATACCATAGGCACACAAATGATACAAAAACAATAGAAAAAGTGAGAGGAGATTTGAAAGAGATCAGATGGTAGTGCATGTTTGTTTCATCATCTATAACAGAACCGTTTGGATAAATATCATCATATCTCCTTTCATCTCATTACAACAACATTAAAACTAATAAACATAAATTAAACAAACAAAATGTTGAAAAAAAGGGATCAGATAGTCGATCTTTTATCACCATGTATGAAATTCACAATAAGACTGGATGTCACATGTAAAGATTATATCCTCATATCACACAATGTTGTTGCAAAGTATTATAAACAAAAAAAATTGAAATTGATGCAAGATGAATATACGATAAGCAAACAGGATCAGATAATAAGTCAGTCACCATGTTACACTTTAGAGTGTAAATTAAGACTGGGGCGACAATTACTATCACCATATCCTCCTCTGTTTCACGAATCTAACAAGTTATATAACAAACAATTTTTCGATGATTCGAAAATGTTTCGACAATAAAATATGCAGAATTGAAAAAGTGAAGAGTTGCAGCACGAGAAAATTGGTATTAACATGAACTGGGATTGGAATTGAAAAGGGGTGAGGGTAGACAAGATCTAACATGTATTTGGAATCGCGCGGCTGCTTAATAGCTATGGATGTGAGGAAGGTTTGTGGTTGGGGATATTTATAAGTGATAAGAGCGAGGTTTAATTAGGGTTTTGACGGAGGATGCAGTTACAATTACAAAAATCTAATGAGAATGCTTCTATGATCGAGCGTTTGGAATAGACGAAAAAGGATTAACAGAAAACTACGAGAAAGAAAATCTTTCATCATATGGTGTTTGTTTTATGGAAAACAAGAAGAAAAGAAATTTAATGGATAGAAAGGCATTCCATGGGGCATATTTCATGTGTTTGAAATAAAATTGGAGTCTTATATCTTTCCTTAACTACTTCCCTTAACTACTTCATAGACTGCTATGTTATAACATAGATTCAACAGGTATCAATAGCTTTGGCTCATTAGCCCCACGTCTTATAAGTGGAATAGAGATAACTAAAAAAAAGTAAGGTGAGGTCAATCATATGTCAGATGTGGAACGAGTCATCCACGCCCCATGCCTTATAGGAGGTAACTCATCAAACATGTTCCAACGATTAAATGGACTTTCTTAATCATAATCAAATAGTCTCAAGTCTCGTTGATTGACTAACTATGTCTCCTATATTGAAGGGATGAGTCACCCACCACGTTTCGGAATGGTGAAACACGAACATTGTGTGTCGGGTTTGTGGGAAAAAAGACCGAATTGGAGATGAGTGAAAGTGTTTACAGGAGCCAAATTGAAGGAAGATCCATGCCCCTTGCAGAAGTCCTACATTCAGTTACCTCACCCAACCATTTTATCAATTTGGAGTGGATGTCCTAGGTTTTTCCCCTTTAGTACTAAGACAGTTGAAATTCTTACTTGTAGGTATGGACTACTTCATTAAATGGATTGAAACAAAAGAAGTATTGAAGTTCACGGTAGACAAAGTGAGGCACTTTTACTATAAGAGAATAATTTGTAGATTCAGGTTACCAAAGTGCATCGTCTCGAATCGCAATCGCAATCGCAAGTGGAACTAAAAGAACACGAGGATAGAATGTCTTTAACTAAATCACTTGAGTTTAGGTTTACATCAAGACAGTACAGTATGAGAACATGATTCATAATCAAACAGATTCAGATTTTCATTTGAAAAATAGATAAGCATTAGCAACGAGATTGAACAACAACATAGCATCACATTTGCAGCGATTCAGATTTCAGAGAGGAATTGAGAAACTAGGGTTTGAAGATCATACCTGAAATGAAGATGAGTTCTGAAAAAGTGAGAGCACGAGAAGCGGAGAGGATTGAAGAGCATGAGGGAACAAACGCGGTGAGGGGAAGAGAGAGCTTAAGGGTTTTTTTAGTTTTTGAAAATTCTATTTCAATTTTAAGAATAAAACTAGTTTGGTATTCCTATTTTTAAAAATGATTTTTGAAAACAGAAAATTACAAATTTGTTTGGTAATTCAATTTTTGAAAATAATTTTAAAAAAGAGAAGATAAAAAATTTGTTGAATTATCCTATTTTTGAACATTATTTTAAAAAAGAGAAAATAAAAATTATGTTTAATAATTCTAATATTAAAATGATTTTAAAATCATAAATAAAATATTTATTTAAAAATTTTATTATATGTTTTGTAAAATTAAAATTATGTTTGGCTCGTCATTTTTTTCCGATTTATTTGATTTTTTTGTATTTTTTTCTTGAATTAAAATGCTCCTCTTTTAGTGTATGATTTTTTTAATCTCCTTGAATTTTTTTCATGCATTGAAATAAGTTTTATTTAGCGAAGAAACTAGAAAAATGACATGAAAAATTGTTAGATAAAAGATGAATAAGTGAAAGGAGAAAATCTCTTTTTTGTGATTTTTTAAAAATTAAAAGTGAAACATCTCTTGCAGTTAGCAACCTTTCTTTGGTTCAAAAACTTACACCTTTGGGTTAGTAACTTTGTTTTAGTTCAAATACCCTTTCTTTCGGTCAAGTACTGCTCGTTCATTCAGTGTATCGTCCTTTGAGTCACAATTTTCGCTTGGTTCTACACTCGTCCTTTGGGTTACAACCTACACTATATTTATCAGATATTGAGATTAATGGATTAAAAATAGATAGATCAGAAAAATTGATTATTCCCTAATTAAAAACAAACGTAAATTGTCGTATAAGAAAGAATAAAGTGAGTCCCCATTCTTAGAACAGGAATATGATAGAGTTTACAAACTGTGCATGTATGTAAAGTAAATGATTAAGTTGATAAGGAGGATATATATTGGTTTTTAAACTGGTTTATAAACTACATTCATTCCATGACCACAAGGTCCAAAAATGGCATAGTCTGTCCACGCCTGCATCCCACTCTCCTTATTACTCTTGCAGAACCACAGAATATTAATAATCTTGCAGAACCACAGACTATTAATAATAGAAATGTACAAAGAGAGAGAAAAGGAAAAAAGGAAAGTAGTTACAACAGAATTTTGTATTTCCAGAATTGGTTACAATTGAGGGAGAGTTAGGTTTATATAGAAAACCTCTGTGCACACTGCTGCTTTACAATATATCTTCATACAATGTATTTTCTACTCTATTATATATTTATATTACTATAATAGTGCGAACGAAAATTCTGAAATAAGTATGGAATATATGTATGTTTTATTCGAATCCATTGGGAATGACATGATGCGTTACAGAGCTGCTTAATCCACCAATTCGGATTTGTTTACTTATTTATACAAGTGATTTTGCTTTTGCAGGAAATGTCAACAAAATGATCATCTAAACTAAATACTTTGTGCAAACTATGGAAAGATTTAGATGAACCTTTTAAAACAAGAATTAACAATAGAATAGAAAATAGGGGTCAAGGTTATACATTATTAAGAGTTTTAAAGCTTGTCCAAGATAACTCATCGGAATTTTCAACATCATTGTTTGAAATGTTCATGAGTTATTATGGACTTCAAGAAAATTACTATTGTTTTCATGTTTGTGGTATTAACATGAACGTCTCCTTGGAAGATGTTTTGTTTTTGACCAACTTGTCCATTACGGACCGAGCAATTATATCTGAAAGCAATAAAGACCTTATGGCTTTTAACCGGGTTTTTTCCTTACCTGCTGTTAATAAACTTAAGTTAAGTGTGTTGAAAAATATTTGCTGTGATTTAAGTAAAAATGATGATGATAGGATAAAAGTTGTCCTCCTTATGATTGTGTCTTGTCTGATCGTTCCAAGTGGGGATGATCAAAACTGCAAAACCACATACGTCCAATTTATTGAAAAATTGGACGAAGTGGATTCTTATGCTTGGGGAGCGGCACTATTGGCCTTTCTATATCAAGGTCGAAAGGAGAATCATTTACGTAATAAGAAAGTTGACGGATTTGTATGGCTGATAATGGTAAGGGCATATTTTTTCTTATATCTTTTTTTTCTTTCTTATTTTGTTTGATAACTTTTTAACCAACTGTTTTTTCATAGGGATTTTTCTTTTATCATTTTAAAGGACTTCATAATATCCTCAATATTATTGTTGTTACTGCGGAGGAAAATCGTATGCCTAATATGCCACTATTGGCATATTTGATAAAGGATCTTTTCACACTCGGCAAAAACCGTCACGGAAAAGTCCATCATAATTTAGGACAAAAGTTTCAGTAGATACGTAACTTCCTGGATATGGATCATGAGGTAAGAAATGATTTCTATAGCTTATGTAGGTTTTGATTTTAATTTTTAGAAGAATTCCCTATTACTTGGTATCCCTATACTGACCAAATGCTGCCTATTACACAGAATATAGAAGAACTCCTCATTATCTGGCATCCCTATACTGACCAAATGCTGTCTCCCGACCTGCATGATCAGATTCAATACCGAACTATCGTCACCCCATTATTTTGCTACGGAGCCTCATTATCCAAATGTTAAAGCAAAACAGTTCGCGGAACTTGATGATATTGACTTGACCGGTGTTGGATCTGATATGGGAGTGATTATTTCAAAGGGAAATAAAGGCAATCATCCCATCAAATTTAAAGAACATTTTAAAAGAGAGCTGAGACAATGGGAAGATATTGATAGGCGGTTTGCACAAAACTTCCAAACTATTGAAGCATTCACTTCCGAGACGGCAGGTGATACTGAAGCACCCTCTTTCGAGACGACGGGTGATCACCAATCACCCAATATTGAGTATAGCGCTAGTAGAGGTAAAATATTTAATAATGTTATGTTTTAGTTATGAATAATGATAAGTAATCAGCGGTGCATGTTTTATTATGAATATATAATTACGTTTTTAATTAAGAAAATGTTGTTTTTGTTTTGCCAAATTTTAACAATGTGATCATGTGTGACGTTGGTGATTGATTTTGTAGTATATGGGATTTCGGTGGTTGAGGAAACAAATATTCAACTTGAGGTTGAGTTGAATGACAATGTGGAAATTGTTAACGACATTGGGGATGAAAATGCGGGGAGGGATGGTTTCAGAAGGGTGCGTCGGCGTGGGCGCGGCATAGCGACTCCTCCAGCACCTCTTACAAGTGACAGAAGAGAGAGGAAGAAACCCGATAAATTTATGCACTCAACTGATCACGTGAAAGCTATACGCGCAAAAACGAAGAGAAAGGTATGTTTAGTTTTCTTTTTATTTGCATGGTTTTATTTTTTTCACACTCCATTATTGTTTATGTATTTTATCGTGTCTTCTATTTTCCTATTACTTCAGAGCATGATTCAAATATTATTCTCTATTCGAAAGAAGTGTGGGATTTCGTTTAGGAAGAGTAATACCATTCTTGGTCCTGGTTTGCATAGGATGCACATTTAGAGGGTTAATGAAAGGTTGATTAGGATGAGAAGTGATATGGCTAGGTGTAGAAGTTCTAGTCTGTTAATAAAACTGTAGAGTATTGATTGTGTTTATTTATTTGTTTCCGAATGCAGTGAGGAGCTGCTTTCCATGGCTGATATTGTTACTCCAAATGTTAAAGAGGCGGCAACTTTACTTGGTGATGGGATAATGAAGTCAGTTTATGACATGCCTACTGCTACAAAATTGTTACATGACTTGTAACAGGTTTGTTGCTACTGTGGAAACACACTGAATGTTTGGATATGTTTAACTTTTGTTATAAATGCACAAACTAGCAAAACACTTCATATTTTTTTTTATTTCACGTGCTTTCAATGTTGGTGTTAATGCTGATGAATTCTTTTCTCTACACTTTTTGATGAACTTGTGACTCGAGCCTGATATGAGAAATATAAGAATGAAGAACCACGCGAAATTACCATCTTTTAGACTTGGCACATAAGGAAATTAAAACCGTAGGGTTTTACTGTCCTTTATATGACCTCACCTCTTCCTAAGGAAATTAAAACCGTATGGTTTTACTGTCCTTTAGATGACCTCACCTCTTCCTACCACAACGGGGGTAGATCAAGAAAGTATGATTTTCTTCGACACGAGAATATCATGTGTAGACGAAGAAATGAATAAACCCGTCAAAATTTGCATGCTTATATTTTATACATAAAAATTGAAAAAAAGCGAAAAAGTACACTCATACGATGATGTAGTTAACAAGAGTAATTAAAATATGAGAAAAAACCAAGAAATTGTTGAGTAATATGGGAAAAAACAAAGAAATTGTTTATTTATCCTATAGGACGTGTCTCTCACCGTTAGAAATAAAAAATATCGTTATAGATATTTGACGCACCTTGTTCTCTTTTTTCGCGTTTCACGCTGAAGACCTTTGTAGTCGTCGCTGAAGATTCTTGTCGTCATTGTTTAACTCGCCGTCGAACTCGTGCATGTTGTTGATGATATCACTGTTACAAACTAAGTTAAATCTCTAGAAAATTTTATCGTGCAATTCCATATTATTTTCAACCAAAAAACAGAGAAGGACAAAATTAATTGTTTAAAATTAAGAAAAATATCAAAACAAATACCTCACACTGGATATCTCCTTGATATCACCTTGATATCACCTCATTATACAAAATTATTTTGAAACAAATTCTCTAGCCAAAATAAATTTGAAGTTATTAAAAAAATCTTGTAACACTTGAATTTATTTATTTCTATTTGTATGAGTTATACATTATTTATAGTTAGACTTCTTGTATTCTAATTACATGCTAACGATTATTATCATACATGCTATTAATATTAGAGTTGTTACACATTTTCTACTAATAATTATTAAGTTACAATATTCATATCTAAAAAGAAACTAAATTAGAATATAAATGATATATGATTAAAATTTAAAAAAGATATATAAATTTTAAAATATCAATATGAAATTTTAATCATATATTGTTTTTCATATATAATGATATTATAGGCTTCTCCGTTTAATTCGATCGATACTCATGTCCAGTGAAAAACATGTTCCGGTAAACTATTCAAATAAAACTAAAGTATATTCTATGTAATTAAGCTTTATATAATATATTTTTTTCCTAAAAATTTATTTTGAAAAGCTTTAAGTGTCGACACGAAACACGAACGTGTCGATCCATACTGAAGGAATTTTGAAAAATACATAAGGTTAAGATTATGTGTCGACTCAAACATCACATGTATCGACTCATATCCGAAAAATTTGAAGTTTTTGCAGTTTTTGAGAGAAAGTTGGACTTGAGACCCATTTAGAACTATATGTTTATGCAATATGAGCAATTTTATGATGTTTATGCATTCTCAAAATGTCTCTAGTTAAAAAATTCAAAAATTATTTTATTAAATAACTTAATTTAACCGTTTGATAAATGAATAAAATTAATGAATTTTAAATCAATGGAAATTATTATTATTACTATTAAACCAATTTAATAATAAAAAATAATATTTCTAGAGTAAAGCATACTTCTATTTGAATAAAGAATGATATTTTTTTTTGAAATAAAAATATTTATTAACAATTCAATAAAACTTATCCCCACTTTAGTTGAAGATAAAATTAGTCAAAAAGTTATCGTACAAATAATATCATTCATTTATTTTATTTGACTAGCAGATCTATAGAGCTCTTGTGATCGATTTGATTTGAACTCTTAGACTCAGAGTAGCAGCAACCGGTAGAGAAGCATGGGAAATGACAACAATTTATCGTTGCTGGTGGGAAAAGCATTTACTAGGTCTTCAGGTCCACAACCACATCGGAACTCGACAGCCACGGCCAAGGTGAGTGTTCTCTTCTCTGTTGATTTTTTTTTCTCCGTTCATCTCTTCTCTGTTGGGTTATAATAGGTTTGATTGTGTCGGCATATCTGTTGATTTTTTTTCTCTGTTGGGTTATAATAGGTTTGATTGTGTCGGCATACCGGAAAAAAAGTTGATTTGAGTGCTATCTTTGTTCCTATTTGGGTGCTAAAGTTTTAGGTATCTTTTTTGTGTGGTTTCTGTCATCATGTTTTGTTTTAGTTGGTGAAGTAGTTTTTTTAGCTTTGTAATAATTGTCCATTCCTTTGTGGCTGCCGTGTGAGTTATGTTGGATTTGTAGCTTTGGTTTTTGTTCCGTTGAAGGGGGTAGGAGTTGGGTTATAGTAGGTCTGATTGTGTCGGCATACCGGAAAAAAGATTGTTTGGAACACCCCAAAGCCCTTTATTGGATTCAAACCGATAACTTAAGCTTCTTTATTAAGGCCGTTTGTGTCCATGTAGTAGCAGTCCTCCCTTGATATATAAGGTTACATGTTTATCCTAGCCGAGGCTGTGATTGCAGCAGCTACTTGTACAGCAGAGTTCTAGTTTAAAAAATCTGAGCCCATCTTGGTATTGCGGCTTGCGCGGAGTCTATACCTCTGGCAGGCATCACATCTATTAGCATGTGCTATGCAATCTAACAGGACCGTAGGCTAGTAGTGGCCATGTCTCCGGATCAACCAACACATCTTCACAAACCCATGTGCCCCACTTCCGTTATTGTTCTTCATCGTTCGATGGAATCTTTTTTACATTAATTAGTCGCGCCAAACAGAGAGATCAATGCTACTCTCTCAGATTGTAATGGGGAAATAAAAGTGTAGAAAGGGAAAATAGCACTTGTATTAATGGAATAAAAGTTCACTCCTAGATAAATCCAGAAGGAAGAACACAGATGCAAATTTGGGAAAATATAGAGTATGAGAGAGGAAAGAGAGTAGAGACAACTCTCACAATTTGCATAAAATAACAATACTATCAATTACTCCTTATAAACTATCTCAATTGCATACGTGGTCCCTCAATTTGGTGCTAGTCGTGCGTGTTCTCAATCCTTTCCTTGGCTCCATCATTTTCGGCTCAGTGCTAACAGAATTATTCTCCTGTGGGTCCCTTGTAGCTGACTTGGCAGAGATCATGCTTTCTCTATTTTTCTTCATTGCAATACCATCCTCATTTATGACAACCTTGTCCTCAAGGTTGAGGTTAGGGAAGATGTCTAACGTCTCATCAAAATCTTCCCATGTGGCTTCAGCTGGTGTCATATTTTCCCATTGTACCAGCACTTGTGATATAATGTTTGAACCTTTCTTGACTGACCTCGCTTGGAGAATGGCAATTGGTGCAATAACTGGGCCTGTATCTGTTGTGGTGAGAGGCAAAGGCATGTACTGCTCTTGTGGTATGCCTTTGAAAAGCTTCAGCTGAGATATGTGAAAAACTGGATGTATTTTAGCTGCATCGGGAAGTTGTAACTTGTAAGCCACGCTACCTATTTTGGCCGTAACAGGAAACGGCCCAAAATATCTCATGCCCAGTTTCTGATTTCTTCTTAATGTAACAGAGTGTTGCCTGTAAGGTTGGAGCTTCACTAGAACCAAATCTCCCACTGCTAATGACACATCAATTCTCTTCTTGTCAGCTTGGTTCTTCATGTACACTTGAGCTCTTTCCAAATGTTGTTTCAACTGCTGCAAAGTTTTATCTCTGTTGATCAATTGTTTTTGCAACGTAACAGGATCTACTGGTTATGGACTGTATCAAATTAGAGCCGGTGGATCTCTCCTATACGATGCTTTAAATGGTGTCATACCAATGGTGGTGTGGAATGATGTGTTGTACCAAAATTCTGACTAGCTTAAAGCCTTGTACCAAGCTTTTGGGTTGTGAAAAGTGAAACACCTAAGAAACATCTCCAGGCACTTGTTCACTACTTCTGATTGGCCATCTGATTGAGGATGGTAAGCTGAGGACATGGCCAATGTGGTACCATGTAATTGAAATAAGGACTTCCAAAAATTACTAGTAAAGACCTTATTTCAGCTGCTTTGTATCTTTATCGGGTACATGTTAGATCTATTGACCTTCCCATGCATTTTTCAAGCATGGAAACAAGACATTCTTCATTCTGTTTTACTGTACTCTGCACATCAGCAAGTGCAGATTTCACCTCTGATAACTCATTTTCCAGTGCTGCGACTTTAGCTTCCATTATCAGAAATTGTATTCTTTTCTAATGAACTACTACAAAAGTGCCAGTTTCTAAAATTTTATTTCCAAGGACAAACATGAGCCGGTTCATACATCATATTTCGGTTCATGTTTACCCAATTTTCACTTTTCACCATCTGAAGGAAACATGAGCCGACTCATATTAATATGAACCGGTGCATCTTTGCAGGTTTAAAAAAAATGCATTACCAGAAATTAATATGTGTCGTGCAAAACTTTTATGCGCCGGCGCATGTACTGGTTTTTACCCATTTGGGAGTAAGGGTTGCTTCGGTATTATAATAAACTATTAATTAAATTGGTACAAATCATTGTTACATTTTTAGTGGGTTGGGGAAAGCCCCCTAAATTGACACCTCTAGTCTTAACCTTGTAAT